AATAAAAACTGAATAAAAGAATAATGTTGAAGAGAATAAATGTCACGGCTGATGCTGATCAGGGATACAGAAATATTTTAATAAAATTTCGATTATTTTGTCAACATTTTTGATAAATTTTGATTATCTTTGCCAATATTTCGATAAATTTTGATTATATTTTATGAAATTAGGTATAATGTGATATAATGTGATATTGTTTTGCATTCTGATTAGTCAATTTTAAAGATCTGCAAAAAAATTCACATTTATTTGGATAAATTTCAAAAATCACCAAAAATTTCAAAAATTTTTCTATGTCCCTGATGCTGATGTTGAATATTACATGATAATTCGGGCCTAAAAATATTTAGTAGCTAACTCTCATAGAGAGACATTCATCTGATTGGCTGATGTAAATCAATTGTTTGAGTAACTTATTTATATACTTTAAAGTACTTTTCAAAAATGTAATATTTTACTAATAAAAAATCACTACAAAAGCCATTTTTCGCTTCGAAAGAACATTCATATTTGCAATACAAAAATAATCAAAAATAATCAGTAATCCCATGAACTTCATTTAGAAGTGAATTTTTCTATTTATTATATATTAGTTACTATATAAGCACTATATAAGTACTAAATTCCAAAACCGGTCAATTAAAAAAAGCGAAACAAATTCTCTCTACTGTAAGTGTTGACAAAAAAGCTTGAGATTTACCATTTAACTGTTATGCTAATAACAGATCTTAATATCTTAAATTCATTAAAACTTGTTATATACTTACTCACAAACTAATATCATTGTTTGTCAAAAATTAGCTGATAAGAATGATCCAGATGGTATCTTTTGGCTTGGTTATTGTTACGAGCATGGAATTAGAGTGAAAAAGGATGAAAAAAAATATTTATTAATTATCAAAAATCTGCAATGATGAATAATCCTAATAGAAAATATCAAGTTGTTTATTGTTAATATATATGTAAAATTAATATAGTGAACAGGTTTTATATCAGCATTAAGAGGTTATAAGGTTTGAAATCATTATAGCTATTGGACTTGTCAGATTAATTTTTTACTAGCTTTGGCAGGTTAGTGATTTTAACGAAATTGGTTTTGGAAGGTTTAGCAAAATTTTGCTTTTTTTTTTAAAAAAAAAAAAATTTTATTACTTTATTATCATTATATATTTATTTAATTTTTTATATAAATTTTGAAATTTCAAATAAAGATTCAAAATTCGATATTATACAAATTATAAAGTGAAAATATTTATTGATATTGAAATTTTTATAATGTCTCCTCTAATGAAAGTGCTTTATATTTCACAGGTTCAACTTCACCATTATTATCACAAGGAATATTCTTTTCCAATTCTTTAGCAGACACTTTTTTTCTCTTTTTTTCTTCTTTCCATTGTCAAGTTTTTGCAGCTTTTCAAGTAGAGATTAAATGTGTTTATTAATACTATCTTGTAAGAACAAAAGGCAAATAAATATTTAGATCTATTGCTCTTATAACAAAAGTCATGATACATATAACCACAGGCTAGAATTTCAATAAAATCTAAATTAACAGAAAAAGAAAGACAGTTAAATGCATTACAGTAACGAAATAAATCTGGTTTACACGAAACACTAAAGCCTAAGGGGAGATGGCATAGTTGAGCTTCTGGTATTTTCATCGCAATTAATAGAATAGATTTAATATTTTTGTCACATTTTTTCTTGGAAGATGACTCATCTGTAATAGAAATGATATTAGTAACTTATATTAAACCAAATAGAAATAAATATCTAAAAGTATTATAAAAGAAAACAAACACTTTTCTTAGTCAACACTATTATATCTTTTGCTAAATATTTTTGCATTGCCCAAGTAGATATATGCGCGAAGGTTTCTCTAAACTCACTACTATCTAGACATAGCTGATTAATATAATGCTCATATTTAATTATTTATTATTTTTTATATTTTTTTGCATGTCTCTATATAAAAAAACTATGAAATATTTTAACTATCGAATCTGAAAATTTTGGTAGTTTATTCTTAATTATATCTAGAATTAGATGGTTATTTAACTCCTAGTAAAATATATCAGAAATATTAGTAGCATTTTTGTATAATTTTTGTATTGAAATTTAAGAAATATTATCCAAACATGAAAACAAAATTCAAAGTATGCATCAAAATCACTAGCTCGGAAGAATATAGTATAAATATCTAGCACAAGTAGAATTATATTATCAAGAAAATCCTTATGCAAGATATTCTGCATTTTTATACAAAAGCCTGAATTTTGCTTTGATAGTTAAAGAAATCTCTTGCCAGATGCTATGGGAAAGTTTCAAAAGAAGATTGATATGCCATAGCTTGAGATTTTCCGCAAGAGGTTTCTTTTTTCTAAAAATAAATTTATATATAGCAGAGAAAAAGAGTTGATACTGAAGAAATATTAATTCTTAACTATTTAGCAAAATATAAAGAGATCTAATAATAGAAAAAAAGATAATATTGTGTCAGTAATATTCAATAATTTACTATGAGACAAATAACATGAAATTGCTATCTGAAAATAAATTTGTCTGGACCAATCAGCAATAACAAGTATAACATTTCCTCTTTCAATATATTATTGCATAGATAGAATACTTGCAATGACATTAATGGCTTTAAGATATATATTTACATCATGAAGTTGGCTTTTTTGTAAATCTATAAAAATAATATCTTTTATAGAATGAGTGCTTTATTTTTTTATTAGCTTGGTATCATAATTGTGTATAGTTAATTCTTCTAATTTTGTATTATTATCAACTACCTGAAACCTCTAATATCGATTATGTGAAAAACTATAAAATTTTATAAACTTATTATTTATATTTATTTTAATTAATTCAGTATCAATTAAAAGAGGGTTGTAGATATTTATTTTTGAAATAGCCTGTTGCATTGTGATTAAATTCATTAAAATCATTGCTAAATATGCAGCATCTGATGTGGTAGTTGTATCTGACACTCCCTTTGTATAGATATTGTGGTAGTCATCAATATTTAGAACTATTGTATTTTCTATATATTTTGCAAATACAGAATCAACCGTGCTGGCATGTTCTTCTGATATAGTTGTTTTATGCTGAAAAACTGTACAAGACATCATAGTTATATCCATATTAGCAAGAATATCTATAGAAGACTTAGATGTGCTGACAGAATTCAAATACATGGCTATATCACTCTTTATATTATTTACAAACTTGTTACGAATTCTATAAAGAAAATAACAGGCAAATAGAAGCTGCTTTTTGATTCGCATCTGCAAATTCTTACTTTTAGAAAATAGGTTAGATGATAAATACAATTTATCGAAAAAAAACTTTAACCTTATATCTTTCTATTCATAACTATTCTAAATTCATCAAATGTATATATTGTCAGTTTTTTTTTTTGTTTTCTTGATTATATAAAATATTCATTATCGTTACTATTGCTTGAGAAAAAGATAAAGTCATGTTAGTACTTTCAATTTTAATTTCGGTTTTAACAGATCTACTCTCTTCAAAATGCTGTTTGAATTTAAATAAACTGTTTACTACAATGCTATTATAACAGTTCAAGCAAAGTATGTTGTTTAATTGAAGATAACTTGGTAAAGTATTGTTAAATCAGGCTTTAGAAAGAAAGCTTTCAGATACCTTTTTCCATTGAGTAAATTCCTTTTTGCAAATTGTAATAATGTATGGTCCAGTTAATCACGACATGTTTTTACGTTTAATAAATGCTTTATTGTTATTAAATTTCTTTATTGCTTGTATAATAGAAGTTAGAAGCTAAAAATATTTGAAATTTGTATAGTGTATTTTAAACTGTATAAATTATGAACAATTGATTAAATGACAATATGATTAATTAATTATTATAGGTAATCATGAGTAGATCTTTAAAAATTAATCAATTAGACGAATGTCTCTTATAAAGCTAACTCACAAAATTTTTTCTGAAGCATGATTTTTAGCTAATTAGATCAAAAGATTAGGTGTAATATAAAATCAAAACAATCAAATATGCGAAAACAAGCTAATCAAATAAGTAAAAGATTTAATACAATAAATATTATTTTAAGGTTAGGATTAAGGTCAAGAGATAAGCATAGATTATACTAAAATTTCGCAAGAAATTTTTTTTGTTAGAACATGTAAAGCAGTTTTATAAACAAAATTTTGAGTTATTGGCAATTTTTGTAAAAGGTGTAATTTTTATATTATATCTAATCCTTTAATCTAATTGGCTAAAATCACATACCAGAAAAAATTTTGTGAGTAAGCTAGAGGGTTGACCAGAAAATCTTCTCTAGTATTGCCACCAAAGCAAAAGTATCGATTTTGATAGATCTGCAGTAGTCTTTTTGATAGGTTCAAAATATATTTCTGATTTACATTACATTCTTGATGTATTTAGTACTATACAGGATGCATTGTGTGACAAATAATTTCTTATTTTTAAAATACTATTTATTAACTAATATAATACATAATATAAAAATATCGTATAGTATAACATAGCATATTTGTCAATCGATCGATTTTTATATAAATTAAAAAAAAAATCAATTTCTATATAAAGCTATACAAACTTAATAAATTGGTTCTCATAATCTGGCCGAATCAAATTTCGCAAAATTCTTAAGAAAATTTTTGACTATATTTACTATCTAGATGAAGTTTTTTTATAAGTTTATAAAAATTTTATATGCTTTTTTATATATAAAATTTTTTGAAAATAAAATTAAAAGCCAGATTACCAGGTCATTTTTCAAATTTTATATTATGAGAACCAAAAAATTAACTTTGTATAGCCTAAATTAAAAAAAAATTTTGATTTTTTTTTCTTATATAAATATAAAAAAAAATCATTTTTTTTCAAACAATATTGAACCAACAAATATGAAGTTATAATAACCTATATTGTAATAGCAAGCATATGATTATTTTTAATAAAATATATTCTATTTATACTGTTAATTGTATTCTTGCTTACACTTGCTTGTGCTATTACTAACACTATCATTTATATTGTCACTTATATTATCACTTACATCATCGCTTATATTATCATTTACATCATCACTTGTATTTGCCCTTATATTGCTCTTTATATTACTATATATTAATCAAGGAATAGCCGTAATAATGATATTGAAAAACTAAATAATTTTTAATGATAATAATATTGTTTTTGTTCCATTTGGACGTGTAGCAAAATCATATATATTGCATCATCCTCTCTTAAAAAATACTCGCTTGAAGTTCTAAAGCCATTTACAAACTCCACAATTAATCAAAGAAGGATTAATAAAACTTTGTTGTGTTGAGAGTGCTACTGATTTTTTAAAGTAGGAGGCTACCAGAAATAAGAAATCAACTAATCGTATTGACTAGTGATATGCAAATCCTAATTTTTTCAAATTTTATGTGCATGTATATTTTATATGCATAGGAATTTTCTGGAATTTCTTATGAGTTTTTGGAATATTTTAGAATCTATTAAAAATTTTGGCTTGCATTATAGTAGTCTCTTAACTTTAAGATATATATAAAAATCATATACCAGGTAGATAAAAAGTCTTTAAATAGGACTTTGTTTTTTTTAATCACTAAAAACATTATTCTGATATTTATAATTAGTAATCATTGCAATATTTTCATAAATTGTATATATAAATCTTAGTGAAGATAGTAAAAAAAGGTTTTTTTCTTATCTGGTATAAAATAAATAGAAATAAATATCAGCAAAGATAGAAAAGGTCCTATTTAGAGTCTTGTTTAAAAACTTTTCACCTAGAGTACTGCAAAGTAAAAATTTGCAATTTTTGTTTTTGTCGGCTTTGCTTTTCAGAAATAGTGATAGATTTCTAATAAATTATAATAAATTTTAGAGCATATTTATTACTTACCCAGGGTGAGATTTGATATTTCTTACTCCTATAATTATTTTATTATAATAATATAAAATAATTATATAAAAAATTTATATTGCACTCGGATAATATGTACGTACCAGGTTGGTGATGTAGATCTTCAGAACTATTAGGTATAACATGACACAAATCAGGAAGATTCAAAATAAACGTTCGTTCTGCTAAAAATCGCTCATACTCAAAAAACAGCATAAGAAATAACCTTTAGTATTCTAGTAAAAAGATTTCATTGGGCAATTTTACTATATAAGCTACTCCTCTCTAATTTCTAACCCGTACTCTAACCCTAACCTTAATAAGTTTTAAGAATTTTGTTTGCATCACCAACCTGTACACATTATCGAAGTACTATTTTTTAATAAAAAACACATATATCAGGTTTCTTAAGCGAGACGCTAGACTATTTAAACTAGAAATTTGACAATCTTGATAAAGCAAGTTTATTTATATAGCTTCATTATTATGACCCACATACATGAAATTCGATTACAATTATGACAAACGAATCTTGTATGATATACAATGTAACAAATTGAAATATACTGATACAGAATATTTCAATATCTCATATATCTTTATGTAATTTGCTATAAAAAAATCACTTTAAATATTTTTCTCTGGTTATTAGCAAAATGATTATATTTTTTGTTCACTTTGAATACATACATATTCAGTATACATATATGTAAAACATATAATAGGTCTAAATTAAGAATTATTAGAATGTATTCATAGTTACTATGCTTAGAAAAGATATAACATACTTACAGTACATTTAACTACTTGCTACTGTAGAAATATCATTAATCAGATAGTAACTTAGTTATAAATTACTGTAGATTCGAAAAGATAATTTAGTGATAGTTTTGTGCAATATAATATAAAGAAAATCATAAGCATTTAGTAATAAAGAACAACAAGCAAAGATAAAGAAAAAAAATAAACGATAGTCAAAATATTTATACTTAGCTAAACATAATGGCCCCATACTATATAACTTTACAATTGCATTAAAAAAAAACTTAAAATCAAACATAGGTTTCAAATACTTTTACCCATAACATTGAATCATTGGATTATTGCAAAATATGTATTACGATAATGTCTATATTCCCTGCATAATCTACATTTACGACCCTATCCTTATTAGATATTTTTAATTTACTCTTTTAATGTTCAATAGATAGCTTTAATCATTTTGATAGTGGTCTTCCTTTTGCTCGATGTCTTAGTGGATCTAAAACATTTGTATAATCAAGTAAAACCCTATTTGCATTGATTATTCGGTTATTTGGTGTAGTCAATTTTGTTTATTCAGAGACTTTTGTTGTCTAATTAATTCAGCTTGAATCCATTGATCTTCCTTTCGTTTATTAAATTCTTTTATAAATTGTATTAAGTCATCATTATTATTCTGTAATGCATATTAAATAGCTTTTTTCGCTTCGCCCATTAAAGCACCATACTTTAATCGATTTTTTAAGATTTGCTTAGAAGACTCTTCTAAAAAATCAGTTACAATATATTTTCAGGTAAATTCTTGAATAGTCGATATATTATTATGATTAAAATTGCATCCTGTTATTTTATCAGAATAATTTTCAATTGAATCTATAAATTCGTCTTTATACCAACGGTTAGGAATTAATATTATATGAAAATGTGCTTTGGAAGATTCAGTAAAAATTTTAAAAAAATGTCGACATATAATTTCATGAGTAATTAGCATGAAACATATGCATAAATGTTCTCCATTACTAAGCAAAATTACATGTTGATAACATTTTGGATAATTATAACGAAAGACTTTCCGAATTTCCACAATTTCATCGTGGTTATCCATTATGATTAAGGACTGTAAGTTAAGTTCTCGATCCTCATCTGCTTCAACTGGAATTTCAAGATCATCACTGGGCTCTTGTTCAAAAAATGGCTCAACTGAATCATCGTCAGATAACAAAGCTTTTGATATTGGTACTTGACATGCGTAATAGCATACAGATTGACACATTTGTTTATAATATGCATCATAAATTGGTCTAGTAAGATACTTATTGATTACACTATTGATAATATTAAAAAAATGTTTGAATTACATATGGGATCTTTTCTAGAAAAATGACCCTCCGAGGCTATATTAATTTTGTGAATAAAAATTAAATTTACCAACCATCTAGTCATCCAATTCAAATGTTTTTTTTTATTTTGTAAAGCTTGTTTAGTTCCACAAAATAAAAGAAAGTTTATTCAAATTAGATAACTAGATGGTTGGCAAATTTAACTTTTATTTACAAAATCAACATGGCCTCGGAAGGTCATTTTTCTAGCAAAAATCTCATATGGTTGTGCATATTGCAATGTCGATGCTTTCCAAATTGAGTATCGATTATTAATAAACTCGAATTCAAGTCTGTTTTCCAGAACTTCTTGAACATCCAAGAGAGAAAAACTTAATTGTACTGCTTTTTGAACTAGTGAATTTTCAGATTCTACGCATTGTGTAGATTGCGTTTCTGCTGTAAAACGACGAGACGTAAAACACTTTACCCAAGTATGTTTTCGATCTAATAATATCGTCAATAAGAATGTTAAATGTTTTTAAAATCCTTGAGAAAATCTTTATAAAGTGAACCCAAATATGAACGAAGATTCTTTTTAAGATTTTGATAAAGGTGATATAAGTATTGCATATGGTGAGTTTTAGGAAACACAATAGAGATAGCTGCAATCATTGCTGGGTCTGCGTCTATAACAAATGTTAATGGTGCAATTTCACATGCCTCCAAACAATATTGAAGCAACCATTCATACGATTTCTGCCTTTCGTCTTGTATAAATGCCTGTGCTGCTAATCTACTCTTATTCTGATTATCAATCAACATAAAAAGACTCAATGGATAGTTATATTTATTAGTTCGAGCCGTATTATCATGAATAATTATGTTATAAAACTTGGTCTATCTTTCTTGCTGTTTTGGTGATATCCAGAAAATACCAATTAACCAACTACTTGTATTATCTATTAATAGCTTTACAAACTACGCAGGATCATTAGCCTGAAACTCTAGAAGTTTTGTCAATAGAGATCCTGCATCACTTAAATTGATCCACCTTTCTTTTTTGATTTTTTGTATAGCATTTCCAAGATCTTGAGTAAGGAAAACACGATCTGGATACTTTGGTTGAAGAAGATTTCTAATCATTGTTGCATCACATCGACCATATACAACATAATATTTAATTTGTTCTATGATCTCTTGAGTAAAACTCTTATATGCAGTAGCGAACTTCATAGTTTCAACATTGATTTGATGATTGTGCTCATTATTAAACAACATTACTATTACTATTGGAGAATTTGGTATTCGTGTTATATTTATCTGCCATATACATCCTTGTTTTTTGCTTCCTTTATTTTTTTGCTTTTTTTGCTTGCCCAGTATTGGTCTTGAAAGCCGCTTATTATATCTTCCTCCCCTATCACACTTCATTACTCTTTTTCTAATAGTACTATCTGTGAATATCTCACATTTATACTTATAAACAGAAAAATGATTTTGAAAAGAATATTGTTCCATATAGTGAACTGCAATATGCATAGAGATAAACCGAGTGCCAACTTCAAGCTCAATAGAAGCAGTAATTAATAGCAAATCACCATTATAGTTTTCAAATTCAGAACCTAATACGTTATCAATAAATGGTGTATCTACTAACTCTCTATCATTATTCTCAAGTGTACCTACAGCCAACTCTTCCTCATTACTTTCATGTGTATCTAAAACTAATTCTTCTTCATTACTTTCATATATAACTACAGAAGCACTGCTTATAGAAAACTCAAAAAATTCAATGTTTTCAACTGTATCTTCAGAAGACATGGTCACAAAAATCAAAAAAAAATCTACATATAATGATCAATGTGATTAGCTAAAAATTTGGTTTACAATGATAGTATAACTGGACTTATTTTAAAAAATGACTTACAAGATAGCTCAAATTAATTGAGATATATAAAATTTTTGATTCAAAGATACAAACAGTAATGGCTTAAAAATTTGATGAGACAAAAGGTAAGAATAAATACTGATTTTAGAAACGAATAGAATTTGAATAAAAAAACAAAGCTTACTATGGTGAGTAGGATACGATCTCTTGGACCCAATAGTATGACTTCTGACAAATAATAATATAATAAGGTTTTGTTGAACAAGATTTTTTTTTTAAAAAAAAAACTTATATTGACGAATAAGATAGTAAAATTTCTTAGCTCAATAGTATAATTTCCCGAATATTAGTGATAGAGTAAAAAAAACTTATGGTGGTAAGCAAAATAACTAGAATTTCTCGGATTCAAAATGTGATTTCTAATATATTGAACTTGTATTCAAAATGAACTGAAATAAATACCAATTTAAGAATACGTGAATCTGAAAA